TAAATGTGCATTATTCTTAAAAATATATATATATATATTACTTGAATTTTGGCTTTGGTTGGGTACGTTGATAGAAATTTTGAGCGCGTCAAATAACGCCCGTCAACGCTTATTTCTGCACCTATGGGTAATGATATTCCAGTATTCTTAATCACGTAGGCGGTTTGATCAGCTATTTATCCCGAATGTTTGGCACTCGTGAGAGGCGCATACTAATACTCGGCCTTGATGGTGCTGGCAAAACGACAATATTGTATAGACTCCAAGTAGGAGAGGTCGTCACCACTATACCTAGTAAGTTAGCGCTCATTATATATTATAATCTGTTTTTAGATTTTTTGATGATTTCTTGTGATACTTATGTACTTTTAAACACTCAATTTACTAGTTATTAGTCCTGTTAAAGTCATCAGTCTTGCGTTAAGGAGTTCTTGTTCATTTTTAACTATTTTATTAATCATTACTCTATCATATTTTACCGCATTTTGCATATTGCTTCTTTATTTTACTGAACTTGCTCCACATTTGACTAACATTTTACGAGTTTATTACAGTTATTTTCCATCTTTAGTTATGGGATTCTAACTGAATTTCATTTATTGGTTGTTATGTTTATCAAATATCTAGCATGACAGTGCATTTATGTGGATAATTATTTAGTTATAAACAAAACAAAACTTTATGTCACTGAATAATTTAGTATTTAGTTGTGTTTTGGAACCTAGCTCTACCCATGAATTTATCCCGTTACGCATAACTATATTTTAAATCTGATTTTAGATAAAATGATGAAAATCTTAGTGTTCTTAATGATTATAGGATACACCGTTTACAACTCGTTTGATTTCCAAAAAACTAACCAATAATGTTTGCTGCGAACCATCTCATCAGTTCATTTGCATCTAGACTACACTAGACTGAGTATTACATTAATTTTCTTCAGGGCTTATTGCATGAACCGAGATTATTAGGAGACGAGTCGTAAACTCCTTATGAGCATACTCCGGAGAATTCAAATCTTCATCCCATAAATATGTTTCGAATAGAAGTTAAGAGTTATTCCAGCGTGCGATTTCTTTCGGGAAAATTTTTTCTTGATAGTTTCCTCAGAGTTAATGACCTCCAGATCTTTCACTTCCATGGTAAATTTAAATTATTCATCCATTTCGTTTATGGAGATCAGGAAATCGCTTAATTTTTCTCTT